TTTTTTTTTTTATATATAAATGAATAAACTGTAATGTTTATGCATGGAAGAACATTATTTTTTTGTGGACAAGCATATGATTTAGGCTGTGAATATTACAATTTTGTACAAGAGATATACGAAATGCACTTAATATCCTTGTTGAAATAGACAATACTAACAATTAATAAAAGCAAGGGTTTCTTACATACCAACACTCAATTCTTATGTGTCGTGTGCTTCGCAAGAGAATGCTGTTTTATTCGAATAACCAAGTATTGATGAGCAGCAGAACCTATGTAAAACATACCAAAATTTACATACATACCACTCAATTCCTATGTAAAAGATAACAAAATTAGCATACCACAAACAACCCATATAAATTGATTCATAGAAGTTGTCCTCTATGAAATACCATGCCTCCAAGCTCATGCCAATCATTAAAGGAAATGACTTAGCTTTATATCAGCAAGCAAACATGCATTAAAAGTTTAGTCATTGCCAACAGTAAGTGAAGAAGAACAGAAAGATTTATCAAGATCTGATTCGAGAACCAAAGCTAGTGGCTGTAACAAAGATTGCCCAAGAAAAAATATGAAATGAACGTTGAAACATAACTGCCAGGGAGAAGACAATGAACTAAGGGTGCAGGAGACTCATAGAGTAGTAATTTAAGCTAGAGTTGGACATTAAAACATATAAAAGCTAGTCTCATGCAAGTTATTACGCAGATTGCATGTCTCATTCAAGGAGACTGACAGCGCATTAATCACATAGATAGCACTTGAAGAATTGCTAATCACAAAACTACCATGTTCTTGCATCTATATTTTAAATTCTTGCTAAAATATTGAAACGACCGTACATAACATAAATATGTTGACCGACAGGATGTGCTAATCTCAAGCCCCTGCTTGCACTGAAAACCTTCTAATGCTGGATGAAGAGTAATGAAATTAAAAATCAATCCACTCCTTTCAAAAAACCAAATGCTAATCAAATCCGAAATTACAAAAAATTGAACAAATGTAAAACTTCACTCAATAAGGTTGTTCCATTACTCCCCTTCTTATTTGTAGTTTAGACCTAAATACAGTCGCAGAACTCGTATGGTTCATGTCATTAGTAGAATTTTTATTTTCTGACACTAGCAAACTATCTTGACTCAACGGTTTTTTAGAAGTAGTTCTATGGTGGGCCCATAGTCCACATCGCCCGCATTTATGAACATGTCTTCTCTTCGTGACACTGCTCTAGAAAATTTTTAATTCTGGTCTTTTTCGGTCTACCTATTGGCCTTGTACTAGTAGGCAATCCAATACATGTGGTATCTGATGGCACATTCTACTACTCTTTCTTGGAAGAGTTGATATAGGAACCTTATAAGTCAATTTATACCATCAAATAACACGAAGAGATTAATACCCCAAAATTTACTTGAATCAAAAGAAAAATAATACAATATGATTTAATAACCTAGAAACAATATGATTTAATAACCTAGAAACATAGAAACCTTTGTGAACATATGTATGCCATAACAGGAGCTCTTTGAAATCAATGAATGCCGTTGCATGAATGTAATATCCACTTCATTTCTTTCATGGCTCCCTTCAATCGTTGCATGAATGTATTGTAAACCTCTAATTTGCCACACTTTGCAAGTACTTTCTCTAGTATTAATATCCACTTCATTTCTTTCATGGCTCCCTTCAATCTCAAATTTGTGAAGTGTTGATGGCCTTACCATTTAATGTTCTTCAGTCAATACTTCTCTCAAGTAGTTTTCGACATATGGAACTAACTCACCCTTCTAGTTGTTTGCCTTTAGCTTTCTCTCTGCCCTTACTTACATATGTTTTGGACGAATGTCAATTAAATCAACCATTGGCTTGCTTCTGGCTTCGCCATCCGGAGAATTAAATGACTCAGCAAGATTGTTTGTATTATAATGATTCTTAATCTCAGTAAGAGACATCACTTCTAGCCCACTTGTAAGGTAAATCCTATAAATATGCATACACTTGTGGGGAGCTATAACTCAACTCATTCATAATGTCAACGAACTTCTACTTAGTGTAACAGTTTGATGCAGCCCACACTAAGATCGCAACTTTATCAGTATCAGTATAATGAAATATGTTTTTTTTAATTCTTCCATAAATTATGCATACATACTCCTGTGTTCTGCATTGAGAAATACAAGCTTAACGGCTTCTGCGAGCTCCTCCACATCAGATATGAAAGCTATCTTATGTTGCTCAAATGCAATTGCGTTTGCCAATTGTTCAAAGTATCACTAACATGTCTTCTTTGGCTGTGTTTCAGCAATAGTGAAGGCTACGAGAAAAATCCATTCTTTCCATTCAATGAAGTTGTAGATTGAAGAACACCCAAGTACTTAGATTTCATACTGGGACATAAATGCCATGGCTCAAATTATTTTACTTCAAAATAATTTCAATTTGCACATAGGGTAGTAGCTTGTACTCTCCAATAGCATCCATAATGTGAACATAAAACAATGATGCATGATCTATTGTTGGTTTGAAATTTCAACCCATAGTTATTTTTAATTGTAAAAGAGTGGAGTATTTTCCTGAAATAGTCTGAATCATCAAAACGAGAACTAACTTTTAAGTTACCATCACCTACTATTTCTATAATAAGAAATTCCTCATTATAAATCCCTCTCTTAACGTTGATGGCTAACATGATTCCACCAATCTAAAGTTATTCACCTTCTGAGCACATCCCAAGCCCTTTTCTATTTTGTGTGATAATCACTACCTCCGCTCAGCCATATTCATTACATTGACCAATCATTTCCATAACTTCAGCATCACTGGAAAGATGAAAATATTCTTCGAGCGATGTTTCACTTTTATTGTAACACAACTAAAATTCATGTCCTTTTAGCCCAGGACAAATCACATCATTCTCTTCCTTTTGAATCCGTAAATTCATCTTGTCCTTTTGAATTGTAATCATTTTCTAGTTCCCTCCATCATATATCATTTTTGGTTAGTTCTTAGCTTTCGACCAATATCCAATGTAATTTGTACCGACTCATATTGTTCCACAGTTAAATCCATCTCCACAGATGGCTCATACTAGTACATCAAAAATAAAACAAAAGCAATGATAATTTTGCTGAGAAAATAACAAAAATAAAGCACATTTGTTGTCCAACTAGTTTAATATCCCAAAATTTAATTAAATAACAATACTATGGTGACTATGTTCTCACCTTACGACCAACCAAATCAAATGTCACGATCACATTGCTTCTTCTTTAAGAGCTCCTTCTCCTGAAACACATACATTAACAGAAAATAGTAGACTAATGATGTAAGAAGGAAACTATGTTCATTGTAAACCACCTATGCAATAAAGAGAAATTGTGTTGCTCGGTTTGATCTCTTTTGATTTGGGTTACACAAAATTCACAATTACTAGAAGGGAAAAAGATATTATATGACTTTCAATGATAATTATTTAAGGTCCACCGAATTATATTTACTTGAAAGTTACAATAGAAGAAAATTTCAAAATCTATAGAATTAAGGTTGAAAATAAATTTAGTTCTCTAAACTCCTACAAATAACATCATGTGGTAACTCACATCCAGTAATTTTAGATATGAGTATTCATAAATAATTTATAGTGTGATAAATCTTATGAATTGCTCTAGTCCTTGCAATGCATACGTTGAGAGTAGATTCTGATTGCTCTTATATCTGTTCTTTGTAATTGCAAACTGCTAATATGATAACAAATCCTATAGTGTCATTTCTTTACATACCTCACAATTCTTATTTATTTACATATCTAACACCTAAACATTCTTATTTACACCCAAACCACAACAATATTGAATATTATATTAAAAAAATACCACAATCACTATCCTTTTAAAAGTGAAATAAAACTTTTCATGCATAGGTTTATGACACTAAGGTATTGCCAGTGTAAATATCAAACTTTGGGTGTTAAGAACAGGCATATTCAAATAAGACATAGTATTATTAGATAACTATTTAATAATGGACAACTTTTGTGAATTCTGTGAGAACAGAGATGAAGTCTATACAGTCCCTATTAAAACCATTCAACAGGAAATTAGCAGAAAATAAATTAAGGGAAATAGACCCATGTCTACTATGGAGTTAAAAAGTCTCTGGACAATTTGATGCGAAATTATTCATTAGTTATCAAATTATATCCTATGGTGTTGGATAGCTTATAACTGCAATGAAAAAGTTTAAATGATCTTTTAATGAATTCTATAATCATAAAACTTAAATTTAGGGGCTGTGTTTACTTGCACTGCACTTTTGATAGAATCAACATGCATACCACTGAAATCTTTAAAATCACATAAAAAATACCACCATCATAATCTTAAAAGTAAACACACTCTTTTTATGAAACCTGAGTGTTATAAGTGCAAATAGTAAACTTTGGGTGTTAGATCTGTATGTACATAAGCGGTATAAATGTAAATTTCTCAGAAAACAAAAAGTTCATTCCCTAAGAGAGCTTTGTTGTGTTACTATCGTGTTTCTAAGAATGCAAAAAATGGCCCCAATTTTTTGAGAAACATTTGCCCTTATTTTATGTTCGGCGTCCCTGATTCCCCCCTCCAAAAAATATGTGAAACTCTTCTTCTTAATTGAAAATACCATTCAACCATCTGAAAAGTGTATATGCTATTTGTTTCCTTACATTTGCACCAGCAAAGGAGATCAGTGAAACAGTTGAGAAGTGCATACTTGGCCGACGATAATAGCAGTCTTCTTCTCCCTCTTATGCCCTGCTCCACATTTCAGCAAACACAAGGCAATCAAAACTCTTCAGTCCTATATTTTTTTCAACAAATTTAAGGAAAAAATCGAAAGACTAGTGGATTACTCGAGCCCAGGTACACTGCAAGATCCACTGTATTGTTTGTGGAGACAAAAGCCTTCCCCGAATACCTAATTAAGCAACCAACATCTACGGCCCGACCTTCGCTCGACGGCAAGCACTCTTGTAAGCCACCTGCAGACAATCCTCGCAGATCGATTTGCTCGCCATCGACGCACCCTGCGCCACGAAAAATTATTCCATGCGGATCGGCGTCCGCACGGTCCTGATGTATTTCGGTGGGCCCCACCTAAAATTTTTTATTAATTTTTTTTAAAAACGGAAAGCGCCACGGGCTCGCAATCGCGCAACTGCACGAGACAATCATCACGGGAAAGGTAACCCCGACAGAATTAACTTAATTTAAATACTGCTTCTATTGTTTGAAGAAGTAAAAATATGTAAAAAAAATTAAATTGAAAATTCAAAATACTTAAATATTTCCACAAAATATTTCAAGGACGAATTTTAAAGCCTATAAAGTTATCCTTAGGAGAGACTAAGGCAGTCTGTACATGTATGTATATATATATA